CAAGCCAAACTACTGCGTTCGATTCCTGACTAAATCGTAACCTTTCGGATCTGGTCCCCTGGTCCGTTTGGAAGAGTTGGAAACTACAGACTTGTCGATACACATAGGTTAGCGAATTTCGTGCGACACTCATCTGTCAGTTACTCTGCCTTAGCTAAAATATTGGATGCGCTGCACAAGTATTGCAATCCGTCTTTTCCTATATGATAGTCTACATTTTTCTATCGTATATTTGTCATTAAATCAGTTCAGCTTCGGGTCATTGTAAGGCCTCAATGATATTTAATTTAATTGAAAACTGTTTCCCGCCACGAATCGGAATAGAGAAGTGAGAAACATGGGTTTGCACAATGTATCCATGGTCATTTCGCAACATATCTACATGTGCATATTTTTGTCAAAGTGATTTTAATAGTCAGTGAGACAATAACCGTGAGACTTCTCTATTTTCAGTTTCACGAAGCATTCGTTTATCGAAGGAATTTAAATCTTTTACGATTCTCTCAGCTGAACACTAGAACAGAGCAATCGGAATTAAACCCCTTTTCAGCTTCAGGTGTCTACTCGTCATGAAACTACTTACGTTTGCTAGGGAATTTTTTCCAACCAAATCACCGAATTCTCATGTTAAATAATTCAGTTGCAATGTAAGGGTGATCACAGAATTTAGTATATGGTATTCCTCGAGATCTACAGTGGTTTTGGCTATAATGACATCACAAAAATAAGTCACGCTTGTCGAATCGGGTTATATCTTACATAAATTATTCCATACTTAATTGGTTGGTAAAACTCCATTCAAGAGAACCAACGTAATTGAAAACAAGCGACATGTCTGTTGTTAGGTGTAGTTCACTGACTTTTTCCATATTCCAAGCTCAAATTATTCGACATGCATTCAGTTAACGCTTTTCTGTCGAAAAACGTAAACCATATTAATAGTAGACACATTCGTTCGTTCGTTTTTGTTGTTTCCAGTGTACTGAAAGCGATCGATGCATTTGTTATGGCCAGCGTTGGTCGACATCAGGACACCGTTATTACTTGTGACCTTACTGACTGATTAATCTAAGCAGGAAGTTAAAATAAATTACTGAAATACAGCAGGGTGCTCCTTCGACCCATCAGACTCAGGTCGTAATTATCACAATGACCTTTGACCAGTGATCTGCCCAAATTTGTCAGTGCTCTTGCATGGACAAGTGAGATTATCGTACACCCACTCACACAGGAGAGTTAGTGCCACGAGAGTCATCAATCAAGTAGAGATCGAACACCTCAGTAGGTCAACCGCGATTAGCGTAAGTGCGGCGGGTTTGACCAATTGAATTCCTTATTATAATGATTTCATAATTTGGATAAACTGAGACTTGATACGTTTTGGAGCAACCCACTCCTTAATCGTGAAATTCTAAATGGGCAATTTCTTCCACAAAAAGACTCTCGGCAATAGACACAATGCGTAAAATCTTCGATCAGATTGCATTTATCCTCTGAGGGTTGCAATATCGGTTGATTCATTGTTTGAACCCAAATTTATGAAAGCGTATTTCAGCTGGCATGTTAGATTGTTCATCTTCTACTACAGACAAATCGTGTACCAGTAAAAATAACTATAAACACGGAAGTTATCCCGACACTTTTGAAGAATTATAATTGCGAAGGAGGCTTTCGCCATGCGTAAACATCGTGGAGCTTGAAATTTTCAAATAACCACCGCTATGATTCCACAAAACGGTACTGCATGCCAATTCAAGGGACCACCTTATACATTCCGAGGGGTGAATATTCGGTAACTCTTTCTTTGGATATCTTGGCTCCAAAAAACGATTTATCCTTTGAAGCCTGGTGTTGGTTCTGAGCTGTTTCATCAACAATCAAATAACACAATGGGTATATCCGTGGATTCAACTGCCACAACCCCTCTCGAAGATACTACAATGCATCCCGTGGTACCGTCAAAATTTCCCCGCAAACTTAGGGAGTAATACTCCTGGGTGTTTGCTTCTCCCTTACTTTATGAAATTAAATAACATATCCGTCCAACCAAGATCGACCCCAATCTCTGGAAAACTTAATCACCACAATAAATTTCCGTGACAGGTCAATCACCATCTCACAATGCACGCTCTCCCCCGAGGGGAAATCACTGCGCTTCCTCCTCGTAGCGGTAAACCGCGCCAAGGTTGGTTCACCAACTGCGCTGAACTTCTCGTTGGTTTTTCAGGCAATATCTTTCCTAAGGTGCATCAGTATTGACAAATTCTCCGATAGTCGCCTGGTTAAATACAACAGTGTAGACAACTTTCCTTGAAACACCAAGTGACTTTACCACGGAGCTTCAATTTTTTTTATTACACACCTAGGTGTGATTAACAGCACACGAAGCGAACCCCACAGTCACGAGGACCTGCTGTTTAATGGTGGAAACCGGCAACCTAAGACTCGGGAGTAGCGAACCACATGAGGCCCCGAGAGATTAGGGGTGGTATTGAACCCGGACGATAGCAGAGCTGCCTTCCACTGTTATAATTGCAAAAGACGATGCCGCGTGACCATTGAATAGACAGCTCTTTCAGAGCCAGTCCAATGAAGAATCAATGCTATGATTCGATGTTTTGTAAGTGGGTTAGATGCTACTAACCGCATTCACATACTACTTATTATTAAATATTCTACCAAGACCATCAGGTCACGTTTGTTGCGGTTAGTAGCATCTAACCCACTTACAAAACATCGAATCATAGCATTGGTTCTTCATTGGACTGGCTCTGAAAGAGCTTTCTATCCAATGGTCACGCGGCGTTGCAAACAAAGTTATTGTGACGAAAATACACTTCCTGGGTACAAGTATAGAAATGTCCTGGCGAAGGACTACTGGATACGCATGCCTGACGAGCGGCAAAAACCGCGAACCGGTTGTGTGCTTCCAGGGGGATTTCCTCCTGTCGTTCACAGGCTACTTATCATCAAGTGAACCTGCACGGTGAAGCCTTAGCGCCTCTTTCGTTGAGTGCAACCTCTACCTCTGTGATCGCTTCAAAATGATTAGAGCTTTTGATGACAAAGACTACTTTATTTAAAGAAGCAATCGTGGACTCCAGCCAGAAAACCGGAGTTGCGATCTCTCTTCAAGGCGTCTCTCTCCGCTCTACACTGGAAACAAGATTTCAGTACGAGTGGCAGGAGTTTTCAGAATATATGAGACGGGTGGATTCGCAATGATTTTCCTGTCTTTCGATAAACGAGCATTTTATCTCTCTACACTGAACCGCAGTCGAACCGAGACCCACGATTTAGATTCGCCATCGTGTTGTCCACCGTCAGGGGGAGGCTAGACCCTCTCTAAGGATTCTCGCGGTTTGAATTTCAAACGGGTTGGGATCAGCCGCCGCTGTGGGAAAGTGTCGGTATTGTTTCGAGAGTACTGGATATGTGGTGGTCACGGTGACGGACAGAGAACGGCAGTTTAAATTGTGCATTTACCCCATCAGCGCCCTCGTAACCCCGATTCCGGACAAATGATTAGACTGGGATTAATCCCATAAATACCGCATCTTTCACAATCTACGTTACGCTGACACTGTCTTTTAACTGGAATCGTTGGGATACGCATCATGGAACTAGGTTCGGTGATAACTTTGGCGAGACAAAACACAAAGCTGTGTGTAAACGATGGGCGAATAAAGCTGTTGGGGACGGAGACAGTGAAACGCAGGTTTGTGTGGAAAGCTATTTTATATGGCGTTAGGACAAAATGAACCTGAACCCGTGACCGGTGGTCAAGTGGGTAATGGCCATTCAGAGTTCGAGGTATTGTCAAAAATGATGGTTGAGTACGATGTTCAGAACCCCACCACTATATCTCATTGATTGAAAGACAGTTTCTCTGTCACTCATGTTTACAAAGCGCCTTGTATCAGGCCATTATACGAAACAACTGATCATAACAAGAAAGACGTGGCCCGCGTGAATAAAAAGCATCTATTGTCCATTCATTCTCGTGTACTGATCCCAACAGGTTAAGCCAAGGAAGTGAAGTGCATTCCCATTAGGACCCAAACATCGCTCTATGCAAAAGCTGATAACCAACTGTGTTCCGTTATCAGCACCGGTTTATCGACAGAAAAGCAGCCTTCAATCAATCACTCGGAACAGATGTAAAACATCTGTAAAGGACGATAAGTGTTCTCTCATCCCTTTCTTGCCGCCAATCGAGAAACATCGTAGGCAGTAACAAAAAAGAGATAGACAGCTGTAGAACACTGCGGCAAATCTTTCATGCTGTCAATTTACAGTGTTGTCACGTGGCCTTATTTTCGAGCGTCCCCATATTGGATTCAGCGAGCTAAACTCAAGGTCGAATTGATTAGGCAAACGATATTTGTGGCGGGAGAAACCAGAGCAAAACTAGGACTGCGAGAGATGCAGCAAGAATGAATGGATATCGGGTTTGTCGAGTGTGGAATTCTCGAATTGCGCAAGATAGAAGGGAAACGGAGGGTGCTATATACATGCAATGCACCGAACGCCAACAGTCTAGCCCAATGGACAGGTGCGAGTAGAATGAATTGGTGTTGCACAGGTGAAACGTATTCCAGAAATCATTTGATAGAAAATCGAAAAGAAGAAAAGGTTGTGGTAGTCAAGTGTACAGGTCAGGTGAAACGGAGGATAGGGAGAACGGGGGACGAGCCCAAAGTAAGAAAAGCACCAGAATGGGAACAATGCGGAGGGACTGTATGTATGTATACGGAAGACCTGTAAAAAAAGTTGATAGTGACTCGAACGGTTCGGAGAGCACAGATGAATGAAATGTCTTCGGAGCAATAATATACGAGGATGTCAGGACCGGTCGTACGGGCCAAAACCATTTGTTGGATGAAAACGGAGTAGGTGATTGGTGATATCCAAACGGATGAATATACGGGATAGCAAAACAAGTGGGCGGCAAGGACGAGAGTTGAACAGACTGAGAAAGTACAGATTTCCGTGAGCTTTTACCGTGAATTAGACATTTGTCGAGGCAATTCAGTACCGATCATGTGTTCCACGCCCCGTTTTCCGATACGCTGAACCACGGGAATCATAACCTGTGAAGAAACAAACAATGTATCAACAGGTAAACAAACATTAGGCGCATCGATAGAATGACCTTAAACCTCGATTTGGTTTAGGGAAAACAAGTTCATTTTTTAAGGTTGGGGTATCTCATTCTGTGAAATACAATGGTTGACGGAACCTGTTCCTTCTGGTTGGCTACGACCCATTTTTGGTTCTAGCGACTACTCTTATTCCGTGCGTAAGAAAAGACAAAAAAATGACGTGTTAAGCGAGGTTGTGAAGTGTGAAACGAGCGTATATTTAAACACTATATGTGGGTTGATTGGATCAGAGGAATGGTAAAAACAATTGATGCGGAAGAGTTGTTTGCATAAGTCACACAGAGTTGCACCAAATTTATTCTATACCAAAACGTAGAAAATCAACAGACATTTTAATTTGGTAATTCCAAGTTTTGTTTCAGTACTCTTTTGGTTACAAAGTAGTTTTATCAGACTGGATACTCATCGAAAGAAATCGCAGGTATTCAAACTAAAGTGATT